CGCGCCCTGTGCCAAGCGGGTTCGGGATAATTTGGTTTAGGCGCGGCGGTAACCCCATCGTCCCCGGCCCCAGTGCCTCTAACAGAGAAGTACAGTCCTGGACTGGAAACTGGAGTTGAAATTTGTTGTTCTGTTTGTTTGTTCCTTTTTTTTTTGTTTTGTTTTAAATATATATGGTTTTGTTTGGATTTGTTGATTTGAATTTTTTTCCCAACCCCACCAAAACAAACAAAAAAAAAAGAAATTAGTGAAAAGTCGCATTGTGTCTAAGCTAGGAACAAATTGCATGAAATTCAGTCAGCTGCTTGCCAAGGCAACAGCGCGTTCGTCCACCCGCGGCCGTGCCCGAGCCCAGCCCCATAGGGTCGAAATTAAACGGGAACTTTCAAAAATCGGGCCTCGGTTTCCGCCCTCGGGAAGCGGCGCTGATTTTTCCCAGTTGTAATTTCGTTCCTTTTGTTCGTTTGTTTGCGTCTTATTTATTTCTTTCCGTTCGAGTTTTTGCTTTGTTAGTGCCGAAAGACGAGCCCAGCTACACCTGGAAATCGTGGCGAGGCCGAGAAGAGGCTCTAGCCCGAGCCCCTTTCTGCTCGGGCCTGCAAAACGTCCCTTTTGGTGGGGAAAAAGGCTGAGCCGAAACTCGCAACTGGGGAAAGCCAGCCCGTTAAGAAAGGCAACGGGACGGCCTTCCCTGGCAGGCCAGGGCCGGGGCCGCGGGTCTGCCTTCCAAACAACTCTCGGTTTTGAAGGAAAGTTTCCCCAGGTCTGGCTCGGGGGGCAGGGATTGGGCAGCCGTGCCCGGGGCTCGCTGGAGGTCGTGTACGGAGTTTACCATCCCTTTTCCTCCTTGCCCGCCTTCGCCGACCCGCATCGCGGGAAAAAAAATATAAAATCCTACACCAAACTAATAAATAAATAAATTAAAAGGAACTAAAACAACAACAACATAAAACCCCACATATACAAACAATCAGACCAACCAAAATATCCAAACAAACAAACAAAAGGAAACACAACTCATTTAGGGGGGACTGGATACGCCTCACTTCCCACCCCGTCTTGCTTTTGGCCTCCTTCGGGACCTGCTTCCCAGGACCATCCCCGCTGCTTTCTCCACCCGGCCGGAGAGATCCCCGGCTGGATCCTGCGTGCCCGTGTGGGCA